AGACCTATATGGATATCATCAAGGCGCGCCGCACATCTGGTGACAAGAAGGACTCCGAGGATATGGTCTGGAACTTGATGTCGTGCACTTACAAGAATGGCACCCCGATTCCCGATGAAGAAATCGCCCACATGATGATTGCGTTGCTTATGGCAGGCCAGCACTCTTCGTCCTCCACTGCTGCCTGGATTGTTCTACGCCTGGCTACCTGCCCCGAGATTGTGGAGGAGCTTTACCAAGAGCAACTCCAGATTCTGGGCTCTGACCTGCCTCCTCTCACCCACGAAGGACTCAATAAGCTCGACTTGCACGCCAAGGTGATCAAGGAAACCCTCCGTCTCCACGCTCCTATCCACTCGATCATTCGTGCTGTCAAGAACCCCATGCCTGTGGAAGGCACTTCTTACGTTATCCCTACCACTCACAATGTCCTCTCTTCTCCCGGTGTTACTGCTCGCTCTGCGGAGTTCTTCCCTGAGCCCTTGAAGTGGAACCCCCACCGCTGGGATGAGGCTGGAACTGAGACTACCAAGGAGGAAGATGAGGAACAGATCGACTATGGTTATGGACTGGTTACCAAGGGCACCAACAGTCCCTATCTGCCCTTCGGTGCTGGTCGCCATCGCTGCATTGGTGAGCAGTTCGCCTATGTGCAGCTGGGCACAATCTTGGCTGCCTTGGTGAGACACTTCAAGTTCTCCAAGCCTAGCCCCGATACACCTTTCCCCGAGACAGATTATTCAGTAAGTGATGCTCTATTGCGATCAACTTGACATTTGACTAACCATATTCTAGTCCCTCTTCTCCAAGCCTCTGGGTACATCATTTGTTCAATACGAGAAACGTGGAGCCAAAGCATGATCGGAGTTACGTTTTTTTTTAGAAAAGATTCCCATTCAAATTTTGATCACATTTTAATGCCCGGCATTGATGCAGCAAAGGTTCGGACTGAACTTCAAGTTCACCAAGTGGATTTGACCGCTCTCGCATCATGGATTTCTCTTTTTTTCACTTTGAAACGATTTCACTGTATGAATATCTATCTCTTTTTGCGACTTGGAATCGTATGTTTCTCTAAATGTTTACATAGCTCAATCATATTATTTTAATCAGACATGAGAACACTTCACTTATCTCCCACAGGAATGAAAAGAATATGAAAGGAAAAAAGAAATCTTGATTGCAATAGTGTAGCAATAGTATATAGTACAGTTCAAATTTGAACATCCCGGCTCAACAAGAAATATGCAAGATACGCAAAAGTGGTATTTTACCGTTCACATTCACGCCTTCTTTCTCTCGTCCAGCCTCTTCTTGTTCTGAACCTCCCGACGTCGTCGTTCACCACCATCAACCTTCTGTCCCCGCTTGTCCTCCCACATGCCCTCCTGGACCGAAATGGTAGCAGCAGTACCATTGGAACCCTTCAAAGGCTGAAGGAACGGACCCATGGGCTGGCAGCCACGGTGAATCTTCATGTGTGCGAATTTCTTGATCAGGTGCTTTTTACCATACTGATAAGTAGTGGCATCAGGTGCCAGGTTGACAATGGCTTTCACCATGCCAGGTGACAGTGTAGCGGAAGAAGTTTGAACGGCAGGTTGTGTGCCTCCATGTGTCAAGCCTCTGGCATTAAGAGGCACTTCAACAACCCGCAATTGTGCGACACCATCGACCACAGTCTCCAGGTCACCTCCAGGGCCGTACAGTCCGTTCCTGAACTTCTCGCGCTTCCGGATCAGGTACCGTCGCTGGCGGGCTGGCTCAATGCCGGCTTGGCGGAGCTGGTTGGAGTTTAAGGTGAAAAGTTCTTCCCATGAGGGAATTTTGCTCGCCTGCTTGGACATTTCGCGGCCAATCAGCGTGAGGAAGGTCTGGACATCGGGAACGAAAGGGGTCGGAGATGGCACGGGCGAGGACGCATTCTTGTGGAGTGATCGGATGTATTGGTTGGAAATTGCCACAGGCTTGAACAGGCGTGCTGTCAAGCCCAGCGGTGAATTGCGCATTGCCATGAGGCTCATGGTGAAGGTGTTGCGGGTAGGATGCCGCACGCCCCGACTTTGCTAGTAACTCTCGTGCTTCTTTTTTTCCCCCGGGAAAATCAGATTCGTAGTCGTATCGATGAGGGGAACCGTGGGGCAATGGCTCTTTAAAATGACGAGTTTCCAGCAGTTGCCGAGGAATTGGCCGGGTCACTGTTGACTTGACTTGGAGAAATTTCGGGAGTCGCCAGCAAAGTCCAGGATCAACAATACTCCGGGCCTATCCTGGGGGAAATGACATTATAAATGACATCCTCATATTTCGACATTACACCACTGCCTTCACCTTAAAAAAAAGGATATGCTAAAAATGATCTCTTAATATTTACAGTGGCCACCGAATTGTCTGTGGCTGTCTCTTTTTTCTCTTTTTAATTTCTTGTCGCTCCCTAAAGTTTGAACCTTTTGCTTCAAACCACTCTAATCATGGCACTCTCACCCTTTGGCTCACGTTCGCCATCCATGACTGTGCATTCTCCTAATACAGCAATCAGACTGAGAGCTACTGCTGCACAGAAATCACTTACTGGACCGGCGGTTGCAGCAGTGTCAAAGCCTGTGCAGAATGGGGAACGCGAACTCACCGAACAATTGAATATTGATGTCCGGGAACGATATGTCAAAGGTATTTGAGAACATCTGTTATATGGTTTTCTTCTAGGGACGGATATGCTGACAGTGAACCAGATAAGAAAGTAGGAGAAGGTACATATGCTGTGGTATATGTTGGCCACCTCCGACACGATCCATCATCCCTCGTCGCGATCAAAAAGATCAAAGTCAATGCCGAATACAAGGATGGGCTTGCTATGGATGCGGTTCGTGAAGTGAAGTATCTTCAGGAGCTGAAACATCCTAACGTCATTGCGCTCCACGATGTTTTCTCCTCCAAAGATCAAAACCTGAGTTTGGTTCTTGAGTTTCTTCCCGGTGGAGATCTTGAGATGCTTATCAAAGATAGTGATATTCACTACGGTGTGGCCGATATCAAGGCTTGGATGGGGATGCTTGCCCGGGGTGTATGGTGGTGCCATGAGAACTTTGTTCTCCACCGGGATATCAAGCCCAACAATTTGTTGATCGCGGCCGACGGGGAGGTCAAATTAGCCGATTTTGGCCTTGCCAGGTCCTTCGCCGATCCCTTGTTTAACATGACCCATCAGGTCATCACTCGGTGGTATCGGCCACCCGAGCTTCTCTACGGTGCGCGACAATACTCCGGGGCGGTCGATGTTTGGTCGATGGGGATGGTGTTTGCCGAGCTCCTGATCCGGGTTCCCTTTGTGGCGGGCAATACCGACCTGGACCAAACCTCCAAAATCTGTGAAGCGTTCGGCACCCCAACGGAGGAGAATTGGCCCGGGGTCAGCAAGCTGCCCTACTACATTGCTACCGACAAGGCCCATTTGGTGCCGTTGCAAGGACGCGATTTCTTCATGCGACAGTTCCCCACTGCAGGTCCAGTGGGCGCCGATCTGCTGATGTCGATGTGTGCGCTTGATCCGCGCAAGCGCAGTACGGCTGTCCAGTGTTTACGACATAACTGGTGGACGATTGAGCCCCGTCCGACTAAGAATGAAGATCTCCCCCGGAAATCTGGTGGGACTAAGAAGATGGGAGATGATTTGACGCGACGTGGTGGTGAGGTGGATGAGGCCATGTTTAAGAGCGCTGCCCGGCAACTGGATTTCGGTATGAAATAATGACACAATCAAGACCAAATACAATATACAATATACATATATAGAACAAAGAACAGACATGGTAATAATGGTATTGTGAATGCTTTGCCAAGCTTAATCGAGACACTAAGATATGCATGGCATTGGCATCTGCAGCAACTATTGGATTGTCAATCCCGTCAATAATGACAACTTTGGAAGTGGAGAGAGAATCATCGAATCATCCCGTCGGGGAGACTATGGATTTCCCTCCTCACGATCACCAACCTGTCATATTGCACTGTTCACCCTGTTCACCCTATTCGATTAAGTTAGGGCTACAAGCCATATAGAAGCCTGTCTGGATATAAGCTCCCTTGCGTGCCCTAGATATATTCCTTTCTAGTTTGAGAGATTTGAAAAAGAAATTGAGGGTTCTCCAAATAAAGAATGTATAATTTGGTACTCTATCCTTTTTATAGGTGTATAGATATATAGATGTATAGAGGTTAAGATGTCGATGTAGCTATATCACATAACGGGACGTAAATGAGGATCAACGATTAATTTTAATTTTTGGGGCTTCGATGTCAATCTTTGCTAAATTCGAATAGCCGTTATCTTTTTTGGGCTTTCTCGAACAGGAGTTCATCCCAAGCTTCACCTTTAATAGGGAGAGTGACCTAGAGTGACCTAGAGTTACTTAGGTATGCTCCTTCAACCCTTCAGGGGCAACAGGACACACCAGATTTTCTCCATTCTCACAGCGTCGTTTACTTCTGTTGTACCTCGAAGGTTGAAATAATCAGATTGGGCTCCACCTCAAAAATAAAAATAAAAAATAAAAAAAAAGAAGTGCAGGTTTAAACATCTCACCCCCTTTTTCCTTTTCCCGAACCTGAAACCTCCACTTACAACATAAGCCTATCGTTATTGGAAGATGCCCCGAGCTTCCCAGGGAATTTCCCCTGCGATTTACGTCGAAGGTGTGTTTAGTTATCCCCCCTTTTTTTATACTTTCTACCTTGTATCGGGGATCTATGGGAGATGCTATAGCAAGCCTAGGGGGGGGATTAACAGAAGGAGAGAAGGAGAGGAGAGAAGAGGAGAAGAGGAGAAGAGGGGAAGAGTAGAGGAGGAGAAGAGGAGTAATAAAAGAGTAGAAACGTATATAGGCATTAAATAATGTTTAAATAAGGATCTATAGGTATATACGTATATATAACTAAGTAATATAAGTTATAAGTTAATATAAAATCAAATTGGTCTGGCCCCGACACTCTGCGGGGATTAGATGATACGTTTTTTTCCCTCTCTCTTTTTGCATCTTTACTCTTTGCGTCTATCTGACTCTTCTCGCTCTCTCTCCCTCCCTCTTTACCTTTCTACTCTTATCTTTTACCTTGGCCTTTTTCATCCTTTCGGTGATTGCAACATTGCGCGTTTGAATCTGTGAGTACCCGAGACAATCATAACATCACAACGTAACATCACATCACAACATCCCGTGTTATCGTGATGTACATTTGACTCTCCGACTGGCCAAAAACAAAAAATCATAGTGGAATCGTTTTATCTGGTCGCAGTCAAGGGCCCCAGTTCTCGTCTCATTTGGCTAACGTGGGAAAAATGTCACAGGCTCTCAATCCGCCCGCATGGCCATCGCGCTCACTTCCTAAATCTATTCCCATCTCATTAAGAGAGATACAAAGTCGCCATGGCCTCAATGTCAACATTACCACAGTCGCTATCGCGACCAGTTCCAAATCCACCAGCTGGATCATTACCTCCCCTCCCCAACCCTAAACCCAGAAAGTCCACGGGTTCCGACACGCGGGCCGCATCCCCCTACCAAACCTCCAAACTGCGTACCCCATCCAGCCCCAAACCATCCCTCAAGTCACCTCTATCAGCTTCCAACTCAACTTCCAACCTAAATTTGACCCGGTCAGCTTCCGGTGGGCGCACTCCTAGTAGCCCCGACAAATCTTTGCGCCGAACAATCAGCATCGCCTCATTCCCTCAACCACCAAAGGCCAGCAGCCGTCCGTCCACTGCAACATCGCTCTCGGGCATCCAGGGTGCTACTTCTAGTGTACGACCCCAAAGAAGCTCGCGACTGAGCACAGGAACCACAAGCAGCTATCGGAGCTCGAAGACACCATCATTACTCAACGGTAGTGGAGAGGGGAAATTTATATCAAGCGGAGATGCGCGAGACCCAGAGGCATCTCCAACCCACAGTAGAAGTTCTTCCGCCCAGGGATCTTGTTCAACGAGTGCGACGACTTTTGAGGACGCGGATGACGCGACGGGAAAATCAAGCTCGAAGCCAAAGGAGCTCAAAGGCAATGTACTTGTCAGCGTGCGCGTTCGTCCCGACAACAACAGTGGAGGAGAGACCCCCGAAATCATGGCGAATGGTCCGTCGATAGCCGGCAAAGCCTCATCTCATACCGCGGGAAAGAAGGAGGGGATTACTTTTATGGTGAGAATGCTACTGATATCACCTTCACTCACTTACCCGCGTAACTAACTCCGGCGCAGATAATGTCTTTAATCCACAAGAAAACAACGCCAAAGTTTATGATTCGGCTGCCAAACGTCTTGTTCGGCGTGTCATGGAGGGTTATCATGGAACGGTCTTTGCATATGGCATGACGGGAACCGGAAAGACTTTCTCTATGCAGGGAACAGCAACTTCCCCCGGTGTAATCCCGCTCGCAATCACCGACATCTTTTCCTTTATCAGAGAAACCCCCCACCGGGAATTCTTGCTGCGGGTCAGCTATCTGGAAATTTACAACGAGAAGATTAATGACCTCCTGTCCGCTTCCGCTGCCAACGTTCCCGCGGGAGCCCAGCAGGAGGAGATCAAATTGAGAGAGGACAGCAAACGAGGAGTATATGCAACGCCGCTCAAGGAAGAGATCGTCCAGAGTCCGACACAATTACTGCGAGTTATCGCCCGAGGTGACCATGCACGACGAACGAGCAGCACGCAGTTCAATGCGCGCAGTTCTCGAAGTCACGCGGTGGTTCAAATCGTGGTTGAGAGTCGAGAGCGAGTGCCCTCCGGCAGCTCTCAAGATAAGCGCGCCGGGATTGCCCCGGGTGGTGTACGGGTGTCAACCTTGAGTCTGATTGATCTGGCTGGCTCTGAACGTGCAGCTGAGGATAAGGAACGCCGCACAGAAGGAGCTCATATCAACAAAAGCTTGCTCACTCTGGGCACCATCATCTCTCGGCTCTCGGAAAACAAGGATAAGCAAGGCAACCCCACAGACCGCGATGGGAGACATTTGCCTTACCGAGATAGCAAATTGACCAGACTCCTGCAACCAGCCTTGTCCGGTGGCTCGCTGGTGAGTATTCTGTGCACCATTCAACTCACGAGCGCGATCAATTCGCATACCGGTGAAACTCTGAATACCATGAAATTCGCTGCGCGGGCGAAGAATAATATTGTCAGTCATGCCAAAAAGGCCGAGGAGGCATACGGCGGCGGCGGCGGTGATTCAGGAAGTCGGGTACTTCTTGAACGGTACCGCATGGAGATCCAGGCTCTTCGCGGTCAGCTTGACACCCAGGCCAAATCCCAGGCGGAGAAGGAACTCAAATGGGACGAACAGCAGTACGAAAAGGAAGCACAGGCCCGACACGAAGAACAGGTGTTGGAAATGCAGTTGGCTCGGACTGCGCTTAAAGAGCGGATCGAGCATCTCAATCGTCTGATCTTGAGCTCCAAGTCCACCGGTGTCAACAACCATAACAGCCTCTCTGCGTTTGGACGTCTTTCCCGCATGTCTACAACGGATTCGGGTACGCGGTCACTACGTTCTTCTGCCAGCCAATCTACACTGGGTGCCGGCCATTCATCGATCCGACCCATCTCGTTTATGTCTGTCAATAGCAACGATCCCTCGTCAGCTATGCCATACCCAGGAGGTTCGTTTGGCAACGAGGACGAATATGACCTTGGAGAGTTTGGCGATGGCAAGGCCAGCCTGCAACGACAGATCACTGCGCTGCAGGCTGATCTCGGCGATAAGAACCGGTACATATCTACCCTAGAGCGTCGGTTGCTTCAGGCAAGACGGTCCAGTCATTCACGAATGTCGGGGGCTATTAAGCCCGCGAATCCCACAATTGCCGAGCATCCAGATGTCTCGGCTTTGGTTCGTGAGAAAGATATGGAGATCAATGAGCTCCGATTGCAGCTCGATGATAAGGACCGGATGCTTGCTGCGCTTCGATCCGCAGCTCGGCATCGAGACCTGGCTGCTGTGACCAATGACGCACAGTCACCGGAGCTGAAGAGCAAGAATGGATCTACTACCGGAGATGCAGACAGCTTCCCAGGAAACAATGGCTTCATCGCGCAATCTGAGAGTCCAGGCAAGCGCCCTTTGTCTGGTGAAAGTGAAAAGGGCGATGCGGGGAAGAATATGGACGAAGTCTCACGTATGCTGGAGGAAATGATCCAGGGTCGAGCAGAAAGTGGGCAAAGTGCTAAGAACAGAAGCATTGCCAGTGATAGCCGACGAGTATCCTCATCAGCGGAGGTGCCGAGTCTAAACCCAACTGCTGCCTCATGGGATCCAAACCTCAGCTCGCCATTCCGAGGATGAAAGCCCCAAAGCGTTGTTTTTCCTTCTTAATTTTTTTTCCTTCTTTTTTTTTAAAATGCTTTTGCGGAAGCTCTTTGATTTTGTTTGATCTGATACCCAATTCATAGGTTTACTTTCTTGCGCGTGTATTTAATCCGAACTATATTGGAGATCGAGTGTATGATTTTGTTTCTAGCTTATTTTGCCATATGCTGTATAATATATGCCCATAAAAGGTCCACAGGTTATCATAGTAGACTGGTTAAACCGTATACAAAAGAGTTGGATGTATTATCATGAGATGATCTCTAGCTCGCTTTCTCTGTCTTTGGCATAAACATCCTTCCACTGATCCCACAACCGCATCAGCTCCTCCGCATATCGAGAATGGAGTTCATCAATGTACTGATCATCGATCTTGTCGCGGTTCGGCTGCTGCATGACCGGGATTGGTCGACCGACCACAATATTGAGAGGAGTTCGATAGGGCATCAATCCGACATCGTAGTTGAAAACCCCACGTGCATGGAACAGCGGAATTGTGAATCCCAAGGTCTGTTTTACAAGCATCTGCATCTTGTGAATGATCGGGTGCTGATCCGAGTCTACTTGATCATAGAGGTCATTTTCACCAAATGCCAAGACAGGAACCAAATCAGCCCCGGTTCGAATCGCGAGCTTGACAAACCCTTTGCGTCGCTTCAACACGAGACGTAAGGAATTGGGCCGGGCGTTGAGGGATTCCCGAGCGCCTCCCACGACGATCGTGATTGCTCGCCCCATGCCCTCTCCATCTGCGCCTCCTTTAGTGAGGATATTCTCACATGATTCCCGGGAAACACTGGCCAGTCCCATGGCAAGCGCGTATTCTCGGTAGAAAGGGATGCGGAAGTTCGCGTCCAGCGTCAGCAGGGTGTTGGTGATTCCTGGGAAAAGCTTGGAAAATCCCAAAGCTTCCGTCCCAAATGCGGCGAACGCACCATGGGAGATAATACCATGTGGGTGGTATCCAAATATATACTTCTTTGTAGGCGGAAGCGACTCCTCACGGTGAAGACGAGCGGGGAAGTAAGATGCATACACTTTCCAAATAGGAAGTGAACGCAAGAATGGGCTACGTCCCTTGAGATGGCCCGATGTAGCAGCAGTAGAGAAAAGAGATATGTAAACGAGATATGGGACCAAGAGTGGCCAGAACAACGGAATGGCGCAGGTAAAAAAGAAGCTAGTCAGGAATATAGCGATGGTCAAAGTGTGGCATAGCACCACAAATGTTTGTAGACGTCTTTCAAGACCAATATTCAAAGGCGCCCAGTGGATGCTATATGGAGTCAGTTATGGGTGAATTCAAAGAGTTGCCGGATGTGTCTGACCGTTTTCTTCCATGACTCGACTGAGATGTAGACGCCGAGGCACGTCCAGCTGACCGAGTCTCTCCGTTCATTGTTGGATGGGGGAGGAACGACCCTCTGTAGTGACAGAACTCCTGCACAGCTCCCTGTCTTGGCTCGGGTCGTGGCAATGCGTGAGATGCTACAGTTCATGTAAATTGCCAGAGATTATTGGAGATGAGGTGGACCCCCCGGAATCAGATCTCGGTTGAGGATTCAATGCAAGTGAACTGTACAGCTTCCCCGAATTCCAAGCAATCAAGAATTAGGGGCATACGCTAAGTTGTTCAAAGATATGACGTTGGATGTGGATACAACAACCAAGCGGACCCGAAACAGATCGTATTAGGTAATCCATGAGTTTCGGCATTTATATCTTGAGAAGTGTACGGAGTACATAGTATCACTTTTATACTATGTTTAAGATTTAAATTCTCTTTGATTCATAGTAGGATATATCTAGTTCAAGACGGGAAATCATAAAAGGGCGAAACACCAAATAACTCCAGGTTTTTATGTCCAATGCGCTTCAGATGCAAATGTGCATAACCTCTATGCTTTGATCATGAAGATCTGCTTCATGTTAGTAAACCGATCATGGAAAGTAGGTGCTGTATAGCTTACCTCGTTGAGGGACTTGTCGTCCATAATAGCTCTCTTCTTCTGGGCGATGTGGCGTGACCGAGTGACATTCCGCCCCATAGGCCGCCGCTCCCTGGATATTATTGCTGCTACCTTGACTTCTGGTTCAGACGCCTTGTCTGAAGAATCACTCTGCTCGGAATCAGCCTTTCTCTTCTTGGACTTCTTTTTCTTCTTAGATTCTGAGCTGGATTCGTCGTCGGTTTCGTCTCGAGAGCGTGATTTCTTGGATTTGGATTTGGATTTAGACTTGGACTTGGACTTGGACTTGGATTTGCGGGCTGGGGCATCCGATTCGCTTGGGGAGGTTTCGTCGTCCTCGGTAATCTTTGCGGAATCTTTCTTGTCCGATTTGGATTTCTTGGATGTTGCATCTTCGGGGGTTGGCGGGGGGATTACGGCTTCCTTTTCCTGTGCCAACAGTCCACCGCTGACGAACCTGACTTCGGGGAATTTCAGGGCAGCATATCGCGCCAATCGAACATCATCTCGCTTTTGTTCATCCTTCTTCAATTCCACTTCGCTCTTGCCATTGAGTCGGCCAAGCAATCCTTTGAAGGCATCAAGTCCAGTCGGCTCACTCTCTCGTCCAATACGAGCACCCAAACCGAGATTATCGTCCTTGAGGGTGACTTTGATATGGGAAGCACTGGCGGCGGTCAAGTGGTTGGCGTGCGCGGCATCCTTCGCTCCTAGGAGACTTCCAGGAGTCCAGCCCTGAGAGCTCATGATCCGATGCCCGAACCCGGTTGTGGATCGGGTCCATTTGGTGTTGTTGGGATCATTGCCGATCTTGGTACTCCTACTCACGCGTTAGAAGATCATGTGTAAAAGGAGTAGATTAAAAGTCGCATACTTCCGCGGCCCTGCTAAACCCATGGTGACAATATTCGAATCAAACGAAGAGAAGTGTTTGTTGGAGATCGACGAAGAAACAAAAAAAAAAAAAAAAGTTGAACGGCGCGGGATGAGTAAGCAATCGATAAGGCCTCCACCTGGGGCCTCCAGGGCTCTCCGATGTCCACGACTGGGGGAGAATGACAACTTCCACCTCAAAGACAATAGATCTCTTATATGATTTCTTGATTTCTTTATGATTTGGAATTTGTTTTGGATATTGACATTTCGAAAGAGAAAAGATATTTCTTTACTTGATTCGGGTTCTTGGAAATAATTCTTCTCTTGGGATATATAAAATCACCCCATGGGATAAATCTATTTGATGTGGAAGTAAGCAATGCCACTGCTTCTCCCTACACTCTGATTTCTCCATCATGTCGAACCTCCGGGTCCTCGCTCGAGATCAACCTCAACGTACAATTGCGCTGGTCTCATCAGAACATGCCCTAGTGTTCCACTACACATCAACAGATACCAGTGCAAAGGATAGCCCACGCTGTCAAGTTGAGTTTGCGGACTTAGAGACAGTGGACCTGAAAGGCTATAGGCCATTAGGATATGGATACGGTACCCTTGGCCTTGTTACTCTCAATGAAGACGTGTTTGTCTGCGTCGTCACCAGCTCCTCGCAAGCTGCCACCGTGAGACCCGGAGAAACCGTGTCAAGAATTGACAACGTAGGCTTTTGTATGTTCATGTTTCCTATGCAACTTTTTTCTTTGTGGTCGAATTCTTGCTAATGATATCAGATTGTCTCAATCGGTCAGAATATGAATACGGCCTAGACCATGAGACCGGGTCTCAATTCGCTCCCGAGGAGGGACTTGGCACAGACGGGAAGGATATGGTAACTGACCATCCTTTTCTGGCGTTGAAGAAGCTTCTTGGAGATGGAAGTTTCTATTACAGTCTCGATTTCAACCTCACAGATCGCCTACAAAACCGGTAAGCTATCAGCTCCTTACTCGTCACTAGCCGATTTCTTTCAACTGACAATATTGCAAGGGCCAACAAACCGGTGGCATTCGACATTGACACCCTCGATGAAGATATGCTGTGGAATTCTTACATGATCAGTCCACTTCTCTTGTTCCGGAGCCACCTGCCACCGTCCGATAAAGCCAAATTAGATGCATCGCAGATGTTAACCTGTGTCATCCGTGGATTTGCGAGTACACTCAAAGTACCAGCAACGGTCTCAATTCTGCCTCATGTGCGGACGAACTTCCCTTCCATGTTGACAATCATATCCCGGCAATCGTCCCGGCGTGCGGGTACGAGGTTTAACTCGAGAGGCATTGATGATGATGGGAATGTCGCCAATTTCGTGGAAACGGAGACGATCTTGTGGGTTTCACCGGGCATTGTATTTTCATATGCGCAAATCCGAGGCTCGGTGCCTATTTTCTGGGAACAAGCTCCTGGCCTCATTCCGGGCCAGCAAAAGATCGAGGTCACGCGGTCGAGCGACGCAACACAACACGCATTCAACAAGCACTTTGAATCCCTGGAATCGGAGTATGGTGCAGTCCATGTGGTGAATCTACTAAGTGAGCTGAGGCCCGGGGAAGCAGAGTTGTCGTCCAAGTTTCGGCAGCACATCAACAAGAGCTCCACCCGACAGAAAGAAGGCGATGGGATTTCTCCACGTCGGAGCCTCTTGCGAATTACCGAATATGATTTCCTTGCTGAGACCCGAGGTCCTTCGGGATACGAGGCCAGCTCCCAGATCAAACATGAGCTTATTAACTCATTAGATGAATTTTCCTATTTTTTATCGGAAGATTCACGTCGTCCCAACAAAACTCCCTACGACAAAGATGATGCGACGAACAGCTCTTCGATCATTTTACAGCAAGAGGGTGTTTTTCGGACCAATTGCCTGGATTGCCTGGACAGAACAAACCTCGTCCAGACTATAATCAGTATGATGGCATTGGAGTCCTTTTTATCGCAGCAAGGTGGCAAACTCAGCTCGGACATGCAGGTTCGGCATTCGACCATCTGGGCCGACAATGGTGATGCTCTTTCAAAGATTTATGCTGGGACTGGCGCCCTCAAATCCTCTTTTACTCGACACGGAAAAATGTCACTTGCAGGGGCACTTGCAGACGCACGGAAGAGTGCCACTCGACTTTATGTCAACAATTTTACAGACAAAGCTAGACAGAGGACGATCGATCTTCTCCTGGGGAGGTTAACAAATCAACTCCCTGTATACCTCTACGATCCAATCAATGATTTGGTGGTGGAGGAACTGAACCGCCGAACTCCAGAATATTCTTCACGCAAACGAGTCCGGTTCTGGGTGGGCACTTTCAATGTGAATGGACGTGATGAAGGCCCAGGTACCGATCTCACTCCATGGCTTTTCCCGGAGTCGGATGAGTCCGACGAAGATCCCGCAATCTTTGTTGTTGGATTCCAGGAAATTGTCGCCCTGAGCCCTCAACAAATTATGTCCACTGACCCCAGTACCCGCAAGGTCTGGGAAAGAGCGGTCCACGATTGTTTAAACAGCCATTCGAAGATGAAGGGGACTGGAAAATACGTGCACCTGAGAAGTGGCCAGCTAGTTGGCGCTGCCGTTTTGCTCTATGTGAAAGAGGATTCACTGAAGTACATCAAAAATGTCGAGGGCAGTGTGAAGAAGGCAAGTCATTCCGGATTTTCGAAGGGGTTGTTCCAACTAACTGACTGGTATTCACAGACTGGCCTCTCTGGGATTGCTGGCAACAAGGGTGGCTGTGCTGTTCGTTTCGACTTCTCCAACACGAGCATTTGCTTTGTTACCGCCCATCTTGCTGCCGGGTTTGCGAACTATGATGAGAGAAACAGAGACTACGAGATCATCGACCGGGGGTTGAGGTTTCAGAAGAACCGGTCAATCGCTGATCATGACGCAGTGATCTGGTTGGGTGATTTCAACTATCGAATTGGATTGGGCAACCCAAGTGTAAGAGAGCTCATCTTGCAGCGAGACTACCAAAAACTATACGACAACGATCAAGTAAGTTAAACAAACTGTGTGTTACCTGGTGTTGGTCTAACAACAACAGTTGAATCTACAGATGGTAGCGGGCAGGGTGTTCCGGTTCTATTCAGAAGGCCCAATTGAGTTCCCGCCGACTTATAAGTACGACGTTGGAAGAGACAACTATGATACGTCGTAAGTACCTTGTGGATTTAACCAGGAGGTAACTAATCCATGGTAGTGAGAAAGCACGGATCCCTGCATGGTGTGACCGAATCTTATGGCGAGGAAGCAATCTGCGGCAAACTAACTACCAAACTGCGGATTTGAAAGTGTCTGACCACCGCCCAGTCTGGGCAACCTTTGATTGTGTCATTGATATAGTCGATCATGCGTTGAAAGAAAGTCTCAGGCGATCAATATACGAGGAGAAACAGGGCCATGGTCACAGTTCTCTTGCAGACTCTGTCTCTCTTTTGGACTTGGACGATGACGAACTCACACCACATATTTCTATCGCGCCGGGGCTGCCACCGGCAAGCTCTGACAGAAGCCGATGGTGGCTAGATAACGGTGAGTGCACCGGGCTATGGATCATGGTGGGTTTTGCTGACGCATAACAGGTGCACCAGTAAAAGCTATAGTACAGCCACCACAGCAAGGGTATATTCCAAATCCCCACCGGAAATCCAATCCATTTTCTGCAGATGTCGATTGGGTACCAAGTCCAGGCTCGATCAAGAACAGAAACACCGACCCTGTTCAAGATACGAGGAAGAAGCCCATGCTACCTCCGCGACGCGACACTTTTGAGTCACCCACGCGGTCTCTATCACCCCGGGCAATCGAAACGGGGAAAGTTCGACCGGTTGTTCCTCGCAAACCGCTGTCACTAAGTTCTCAGGCGAAAATCGGGACAATATCACCTAGCGGTCGACACACATCAAGGCAGGACAGTCCAGGAGTTGATGTGCCTGCTGGTAAGGGCTCTACAGATCTCCTCAGTGACTCGGCCAGTGAGCAGATCGAGTGGAAGCCGCTTCTTCAATGATAACAGCCCATTGAGGTACCCGTGGACACAAACACAATCAATCGAGATGCCCGATAGATTCTGGATATTGATCATTAGTGGCGCGATATTACCAAATGATGTTGAAAATTTACGTTTAATATTGAGAAATAAACCAGTGGTCAGACTTTGTGGTATGCATCGAAGTAGTTATATTGTTGACACCCCTCCATTAGGTATGCTCCCTCGATGTCAACGTCGACACCGAATCCATGGATGGAACATGCTCCTGGAGGTGACTACCAAAGGTACGCAGGATGACTAAGTAAGATGACTAATACCACTGATGTCATCACTGACCGCCTTGCTCTCCGAGGCTTCACACCGCCTTGGGGATTGCCCCGTATAGATCATCACATCATATCACTACTCCGTACTCCGTGTACATAGGTATGTACTAGTTATACTCAGTATCCATGGATATCAAAGTATATATTTCTCCTGTAGCAACAAAAGAGCTATCAAAACTGTCACTCAAGGAGTACAGAAGGGTATGTCCCTTCTGGCAGAGACTAAATTAGATCAGACCAAGTTCTTTTCTCTATCTCTATCTTTGTTTATAGTAGCAGCAGCATTTTTTTCGAAAATTAAGGATGTCAGGATAACGAAAGTATAATATTGAACCCATTGAGGTTTATTTTTTTTTTAAAAAAAAAACAAAACAAAAAATCTATGTACAAATCTACTCGGTTCATCTATAATGCAATCAACCAATGGATTGAAATCATTGAATTTCAGGGGTGGTCTTCCCCCACAAAGTTGTATATAGTAACAGTAACGTGTCTCCTCAAAAAACAACGTGGCCTTTTTTTTGCCGGCATATTCACATCTCAAATCATTCCTTCCCCATCCATCTGTCTTTCTCAAAATTTTCCTCTATACAACCCATCATGGTAAGTACAGGTTGTAATCTTGCTTGGCCATGGATGATGATTAACACATGCCAGGCACAAACACCACAGCAACGTCGAGCAAACGACCGCTTCGCAAAGACCGAGGCCGCGAAGAGAGGCAAGGCGCCAACCACAATTAAACCGAAGAAGAACACAAAGTCACCCCTTTCAGCGAGTTGGGTTGGTATGTATTTAACTCCGTTGTTGAATTGAACCATGCTGAATATTTCCCCAGTGTTACTCGCTTTTGTTGTTTGCGGCGGTCTTCTCCTAGAGCTCCTACGAATTGTCCCTGATCTCTGGTCCACCGTGGTCTCATGGTTCACCCGGACAGGATAAAATGGATTTGAAGCGAATGATTCCCCCTACTGCGCCAATACCCTAGCTTTCAACCTTCCGATATGTTTCGAGTCAGTACCGACCATCCCTCATCCTCCTATCCGATCCCACTTACGTCGAGTGGTCAATGGACCAGGGAACAAGGGATGGATTTGGGGGCAAATGAATGTTAAAAGCAACATGATTTGCGTGTCACAGCTCTTTTTCTTTTGCTTTTCTTTTCTTCTTTTCTTCTTTTCTTATGGAATATGTATTATTTGATTGTATCTCACTGTTGCTGTTTGAGCCAAATACCACACGTGTTGCAAGATTTACTCCGGCCTGGAAGATATTCAATTCTCGCCTGATAGCTTTTCTGATTCCGGAGTCTTCTTCTTTTCTTCTTTTTCTTCCCCATCGCAGGCTCCGTAGGGTCTTCAACCACTGGGCCAACTTCTCGGTTTGAAGCGACGTGCCTTTTTGTCTTCTTCTTTTTCTTGACTAGGGTTCCTTCTGCCGGGGTGCCCTCTAGTTGGATGCGCTCCGATGCTCGCTGCATCTGCAACCGTACTTCCTCCACTTTTTGCATTGCTCGCGCCATTTCTGTATCCCCTTCATCTGCAGAAAATGGGGGAGATGGTCCTTTTGCCAAGGACAAATTTCCTAGGCTGCTCGAGTCAACTTGGAGTAAAGAGCGCTTATATGCAGGGTGGTCGTCACTAGCACCCTTGGGCCTGGAGGTGTCTGTCAAAGAGTTTGGCGTTTCAAAGGTCTCATCGCCAGCAACAACCAATTTGCTCACAGGGGGTCGGCGACTTCTTTGGCGATCGAAATCAACATGGCTGAGCTGTTCATCTCCCAACTTCAAGTCAACTATGGGGATGGAATCAATGTCCAAGACCTCACCATTGGATGTGTTCAGAGCTTCATGGAATGGTGTAGACGTGCCAGACGACTCTCCGGAAGGAGCAATGTAGAAGGGGTCATCCTTGAAGCGTTCCCTACGCTCGAGCATTCTTCTTTGTACTCCAGTAGAGGATTCCACCGGAGCACCGGTAAAGTTTTGATATGACGCATGGGGCTGCAAATCAACTGGTGCAAGGTCACGAGTCTGCTTGTTGGGAGACGAGAGTTCAGGAAGATGATAGAAGTCTGACGTTTCCCAAGACTTCGACTCGTGTGATGATGGGCTATCCAGGTTGCTGAAAAGACCTGGCAGATCGTGGCTAAAGGGCTCCTCTAGGCGAAGGCTATCTGGCAAGACAACCTTCCTCTGGGCACTGGTCGCAACAGGGTTGAGTTCAAGGCCTGTGAATAGGTTTGGTATGACCGAGGCGAGAAGAAATGGGATTTCTTGTGTATCGGAAGTCAATGCCTCAGCTGCTAGGCGGAGAACTTCTAGGAACTCGATGGCTCGCTCTTGGACATCCAAATCAGGATGGGCCGCCAAAGCCTCGAGGAACTCAATGACTCGAGCAAGTAAAAGCGACATCTCACTTTTCCAAAGCTCTCCTGGTTGGCTGGTCTGGCTAACCTGGATATACACTTTTGGAATGGCTTGCAAGAAGAGGGAAAGAGTTCTGGAGGGAAGCGACACATTAGAGATGTCAATCAATGACAGTAGTGTCCGATTAGGCGATAGCAGATATTCAGCATATTCACCGACAACCCAGGCGACAGGGCCTAAAACACCATCGCCGATAGTTGAACTGGAAGGGAAAAAAGTCGATCTGTTGTCGACAAACATGAGAGATTCAGCTGCTCTTGTGGCCTCCATGCGCACACCTTTCACCCTCACAGCAACATTGCGAATCTCTGTTCCTATCCGAACCGCAGCATTCATCCTCAAATTGGGCATAGCCTCTTGCTCTTTCGGAGGGCCCCAATCATCTTCACTCTCCGACGGTGGGAGAAGCCCGACCAGCTGTACTAACACAGCGACATACCACTCAAAATCAATAATTTCAGAGTAGTTCTTTTGAGAGCAGAGGTCCAGGATCCGGTGAACGACCTCAGTCTGGTAGTCGTTGGGCCATAAGGTTGGGGCTTTGGAACTTTCGGGGGTTTCGGGCGAATCTACCAGTTCGGCCGCAGGGACAGACGCTTGTTGCAGCTGGTCTAGTAGACGGTTCACGACTAGCTGGAGAGAATCACTGTTTACCATTCCAACGGCAAGTTCTAAGGCCTGCAATCGGATAGAAACGTCCGCATCATCCAGACAATCCATAATAACATCCTGCTGCATGGAAACCAACGTTGGGTGCGTGGCAACAATGCGGTTCAACGCAAGAAGTGCGACATATTTGACTGGCCTCGATGGTCAGCAATCATATGTTGAAAGATGGAAGGATACTCACGATTGGGGTCACTGTCCATAACTATCATACCCCGCAATTTCCCAACACAAAGAGTGGCAACTTCGTCCCTTTCCTGGAGATTCTCTTCGCCGTCCAAAATGCCCCCTTGAATGATGCCGTTGATACACTCATAGAGCAAAGACATTGCGGATGTGGTTTGAATAATATTCGTCAATGGGCGCAGGAGTTTGCGAGTCAGCCTTGGCTCCAGCGGGGTTAATGTTGCAAACTGGAAAGGTCAGAGGGTGCTCAGAAGATAGACATTCGTTCCATGGGGTTTGGGGCCATGGGGGACTAACAAGTTTGATAATTTTGATGGCCATCCAATTATTGCCGCTATCAACCAGAAGCTCAAAGAATCGAGGTGCCAGAGGGAGAAAGTCATGAGGTCGCCGCCAACCAAGCTCACAAACGACGTTGATGGCCGCAGTAGTGACACTGCCATCCTCTTGATCGTCCATCAAATGGTCTTTTATCTTGGGCCATGCCAACTTCAGAGCTTCGGGATACACCAAGGCAAGCCTATAAAGACAGACGATCGTTTTCTTGCGCACCACGGGGCTTGAGTGTGAAAGTCGGGAGAGTAAATCGGGAAGCAAGGACATTGCTAGGGAAGGTGTAATAATGTGCGGCAAAGTAATCAGAGGAAGTGACATGTTGGGAATACTGGAGGTGACGATATCCTATGAAGAGCATTAGCAACTACGGGGAATTCGAAGCCATGTAAAGTACAAACCTTCTTCAGTAAGTTGGTTGCCAGCATCAGGACTTCGGTGTCTGGTCGAAAGCTCTGTACTGCTCCGAGATACCCAACTCTTTTCTGGAGGTATTTGGCGGATGACATGACTTCGAGAACGTGGAAAGATGCCCATGACATGTCATACCCAAACATTTCAAGATAGATGAGCTTCAAGAGGGCTGTAGCCTTTTTGTCTACTTAAGATCAGCATCAAGTCCATTGCCGGGTGAATAGGTGGGAGTTAATACCCATGTCTTGTGATTTGATCTCGGCCTTGCATTCGCGCAGGGAACTCTGGATGTATTCATTTTCACCACCCTTATGACCCCGAAGACCTTTGATAAGGTCATAGAGTGATTTTTCGAACCTATACAAGAGATTAGCGTGGGCCAATCTGGGACAGGAAACATGGTATGCCCACATGTTGTCGGAGCTATCAATCGTCACACGCCCGAGTCGAAAGCGAAGGATAATAATGAAGCCCCCTAGTAAGACTGGAGGTGCATTATAAATTGGGCTGTCAGATGAGCCATAGTTTAGGATGAGAACGAAAGATGCGTAAGTGAGTACGAGCAACCCGAGCTCCGCGGGGTGGAGAGTTGGCGTTTGGGGGATCCCCGATAAGAGATCGGATCACGGGACTCTGGCCAATTGAGCTCCGGTGCACTCTGTTCTCTCTCAACATCTGTTTTAATTGGATCACCCCTGCTCTCGGATTGCATTTTCTTTTCATTTTTCTTTTTAATCTAATTGAAGCCGTACTATCATTCTGAACATTTGATTATGGCAGGTCCTGTCGCTGATATCCGTGAGATCAGCGGATCAGATCTGATCTCTGCTCTTCATCTTGCTCAACAAGCACCCGCAATCCTTGGCCAGGAATCCGGGTCAGGGGTTACTTCCAATTCTTCAGAAACTGCAGATTACTATGCACGATTAGAGCAACTTCTGTTGGCCTGTCTTCGGACGGGGGATGACCAGTCAGCACATACCTGCCTGAATCGCCTCAGCCTCCGGTTTGGACCGTCTAATGAAAGGATTATGGGGCTCCGAGGTCTATACGAGGAGGCAACCGCCAAGGATCAGTCGGCACTAGAAAAATGCCTGCAGGAATACGACAACACGCTGTCACAGAGTCCAGTGAATGTGGTCAGTATTACAGAACCTTCGGGTATGGGATGCAAAAACTAACCATATACACAGCCCATCCTAAAGCGCCGGGTGGCGTTGTTACGCTCGCTCAACCGACCATCTGAGGCAATCTCCGGTCTTATTCAACTCCTCGATGCCATCCCTACCGATGCCGAAGCCTGGTGTGAACTAGCCGACTTGTATCAGTCACAGGGATTGGGTTCCCAAGCCATTTTTAGCCTCGAGGAGGCTTTGCTCATCGCTCCTAACTCTTGGAATGTAAGCAATCACTCTTTTTTTATTATTATCTATATTTCTATTTTATGTTGGGATTACGAGTCACTAACATCAAAATGTAAGATTCATTCTCGCCTCGGTGAACTGCTATACATCTGCGCCTCCGACGGGGACGCATCCCGGCTCCTTGGGAGGTCTGTGCAACACTTCAGTCGAAGCATTGAACTTTGTGACGACTATCTACGAGGATTCTATGGGTTAACTTTGGTAAGTCCGCACATAATAGTCTTGACTCATTCCTTTCTAACCCAGGTTTCCCCCGGTAGGCCTCCACTCGGATGCTTGACAATGATTACGCAGGCGTATCAGGTCAACTTCCTAAAAAGACCCTAGAACGATTGAAGGCCTTTGCGCTCCTCAAGTTGGGCGAAATTGTTGAGTCACGGTCGATCGATGACCAACATTGGGCATCGAGTCGAAGTGAGCTGATTGCAGCCAAGGAGTTACTAAATCGCCAAAGTAATATTCAGGCGGCTTAAAACTAAGCGTTTTGATTCGAGAATACCCTATTCCCTAATTTAATCAAGTCAAATCAAAGCAAATCAAAAAACTAAAAAAATAAAATAAAATAAAAGATTCTAGAGTGTTCTATTAGAATGTATGGAGTAATGTATGGAGTAAGTGTGGATAAAGAAAAGTGGTGTATAGCCAAAGATAAAAGTTATTGGGCATTTTCGTTTGGGCAGCAGATGTGTCAAAAAAAAAGAAAAAAAAAAAAGTCACACACAAAAGAAATGCCCAATGGGCCTAATAAAGATATTTATATTCGGAGAACTAAAAAAGGGCCTCTTTCTTTCTTTCGATCGTTTGGTTCCTTTTATATTTTTTCTTCTTTTTCTTTGCATAGAGATACCCTGGTCTGGTTTGTTTGTTTGTTTTTCTACATTGTATACTCCTGCATTTCGGATTCCTATCCTTCCTATATATCTCTATATTAAGAGAGGGATATTTTGATTTCTTTTTTTTGGATTTGATCTTGAGTTCTTTTATTCTTCTTTTTATTTTCTACTCTATTGAAAGAGGTCAAAAGAAAAGAAGAAGGAAAGGGAGAAAAAAAAAAAAGGAAGAGAAATTGTCCATGCGCAAACCAACAAACCCCCGCGATCATTTTTACCGGTGACATTATTTTCTTTCCCTCAACTTCTCTCTCCAACCCTACTTGGGTATTCCCTCCTCACTTCGCGCATGCGAAAGAGTGAGAGGACAAGTGATATTTATATATATATATCCCTTTATATGAATATATATACACTTTCTCATTGTCTCTATGACGTATGTTTGAGTTTTGTTTCCCCCCCTTATCCCCATATTCCCTTATTCCCCTTCCCTCTCTCCCTCTCCCTGTCCCCTCGTCCCCTTCCCCTTCGTTTAAAGAAACTTTCTCACCCTTTACTCTCTCTTTCTCTTTACAGGCTCAGTATCTCCATTGATCCAAACCCCCATGGTTCGGATCGCTCTTACTCCGACGACGAGGACTCGTCTGGTGTTCATGTCCCCACATCTTCTGAATTAGAAAGTCATGAGTACCAGGATTATGATGAGTGGGCACATTTGCCATATCCAGATGAATTGAAACCATCTGATTCAGCCTCCCGACCAAGAACTTCGCACCGCAGTCGTCCGCCCCACGGTTCACGCTCCGCTTCGGGCCGTCGCCCAACATCGCGACGGATGGTTCCAGAACATCAGTCGTTCGCCCCTCGAGGCCGAAGACAACAATCACCAGATTCTCCCGATAGTGCCGATTCCGCCGACGAGTACCCGCCCAATTTTGGTCGAAATGATCGGAGGAATTGGCAACAACCTATGCCACCCGCCCCTGGATACGCCCCCCAGCCAGTCCTCTGGTCCATCTTACCCTGCTTACCCTCCTCCTCCCCCAGGCCATGGCCCGTATGGCCATCACAATCCTCCCCCAATTACATCGGAACTCATGAGAATTCCTCACCCAGGTCAACCCAACCCCTACGCTGCCCCTCCGCCTTATGGATATCCACCGCAATTTCAACCGGGGTTTCTTCCCGATCAACCCCACCTTCATCCACGGCATGCGCCTCGCCAGCCGCCCCAACTGCACAATCCAATGCAGCCAATGCAGCCAATGCAACCTCCAATGCCGCACGCGATGGGTCCTCACGGTGCCCACTCCCCTTACCCTGGATATCCCCACGAATTGATGGCCTACGGTCAGACCGGTTTCTATCGAGACCAACCCAGCTACTTCGGGGCACCGATGCCGGGCATGATGCCTCCTCATTATTGGCCACCCTATCCCCCAGTGCCTTCTCCTCCAGTGCAACCCGAACCTAAATCCCCCCACCCCCGACGCCTGCTCCCGAACCGGCTCCGGCTCCAGCTCCGGCTCCGGCTCCAGCCCCAGCTCCAGCCCCTGAACCTGAACCTGCTCCCCCTCCACCGCCACCTCCCCCGCCGCCTCCACCAGTTGACACGGCCAAGGACGAGCAAATCGCAAGGCTTGAGAAGTTGATTCTGGACCGCGAGGCGAAGGAGCTTGCCAAGCAGCAGGCTATTGAACGCGCGGCTGCCGAGAAAGCAGCTCAGGATGCACAGACCGCGCATGATAGGAAGATAACCCTGGAAGCTGCGGCGCTTGCTCGGGCGGATGCGGAAAAGAAGGCGGCGGAGGATGCCGCAAAGGCCAAGGAGGAGGCGGAGAAAGCTACGGCCGCGGCCGCTTCTGAGGCAGCAGCGGCAGCAACGGCTGCGGCTAATGAAGCAGCTGCGAAGGCGGCTGCAGCGGCTGCCGAAGCAGCTGCTAAAGCTGCCGAACCGCCGCCACCACCGCCACCCCCAGAGAAGAAGCAGCCTATCAAATTCAAGGACGCTGTTGGGAGGAAATTCAGTTTTCCATTTGAACTATGTGCTACTTGGCAGGTACGTCAACTCACCTCGCTCTGTTGATCTAGTTATCTTATTCTAACTTGGGTTACAGGGAATGGAAGAGCTCATCCGCCAGGCTTTCCTCCATATTGAAGTCATTGGACCCCATGTGGCCGAGGGCCATTACGATCTTATTGGTCCGAATGGCGACATTATCCTTCCGCAGGTTTGGGAAACTGTAATCGAGCCTGACTGGGCGATCACGATGCACATGTGGCCAATTCCCGAAAAGCCAAAGGAAGACCCTCCGCCGCCCCCTGCGCCAGAGCCTGCTCCGGTAAAACCTCCCGACCCACCTGCCGAGCCAAAGAAGAAAGCAGACGGTAAGAATCTCGCCTTGAAACACTCTCAGAGACATGCGCTTACCTTTTCTCTAGGCCCTAAGAAAGCCAAGGCCGGAGGACCAGCTGTCCCCGGAAGTTTCGCGATGTGGATGTTAGGTGGTACCAATCGCCGGGGAGGCAAAGGGGGTCCTAAAGTGGAAAAAAAGGCCGATGCCCCTCCCCCAGCACCCGCACCATGAGAATTTGGTTTCCGCCGATCACCCTGCGTAGTCTGGGATGATGACGGGATTGGTTTCAGGTCGCGTTTGTATACCCATGGACCTTCCGGGCAATGGAAAGACATGAACATCACTTTGCTAATACCGCTTTTGAAAATGATGACGAATATGATCAATGCCTGTAGTATGTTATATGACATCAACTTTGGATTATGATTTAAGTTGCTTCGATTCGCCCCGCAATCATTGGTAAAGCTAAATTATGAGGTCTAAGATAGGAGCTTTTAGCGATTATTTGTATTTTATAAAAGTAGAGAGTCTAGAGACCTATGCTTAAAGGTCTATTATAAGAAGAGTATTTCGAAATCCCTGTGGATTACTAATATCTTCAATCTTTTATAATCCATGGATAACTTGATAGTTAAATTAATACTAAATTGTAACGATTAGAAATTCTACCGGTTCTAACCGGTTCGATAATTACTAGATTAAGACGTATGAAGCGAGAAGTAGGGGTTTATCTTATTTGTCTACGAGACCTACGGAGTAGACCTGGCAGTGACCCGCGGGTGATCCTAGGGGTCGTTAAATAGGATAAAGAGGAAAATATTGTGATATATATAATCTATATAGATTTATCCTATATTTTTAAATACCCTAGTTATATACCCAAATGTCTTAAAGGAATATTTTTTAGTAATATATAGTCTATCGCACAACCCGGGTTTGGGTCGAGATATCGGACCCGGACCCGGACCCAACCCGGACCCAGCGCTGGGCCCCCAATGGGGCCCCAGTAAAACCCAACTTTACATAAAAACAAACTCTTAGCGTTCATAAAGTTACTAAATAATCAATATGTAATCTTCGTATTTTTTTGTGTTTTAGATCGAACCTATATGAACTCACTTATTCGACATCAACTTTATATAACTAAACTAAATAGACACTTATATCATTTTATATTGGCCAGATATTAGTTTATTACTAATAAAAATTAAAGATAATTATAGTTATAGTGGTATTTGATAATTTAGGTTTACTGATATGGTTGAAGTTATAGAAATATATTTTGAATATAGTGTAAAGTAGTCACTCTATCCTTATACGTTGAGATCTCCTTTCGACTACTATTATCTCTAACCGCGGTTAGAAAATTAATTATACGATTAAAGCCTTATTCTACTATACTTTCTAACCGCGGTCAGAAACTCTAGCTGAGGGAATCTTATAGTAAGCGCGGGTAGAGCCCGAGTACTAATACTCCTAATTTCTGACCGCGGTTAGAAACTCTAGCTAAAGGGATCTAGTAGTAAGCGCGGGTAGAGCCTAAGCCTTAGTACCGGTATTAACCCGTTATAATTGCTAGGTTTTGCTAGGTTTTGCTAGGTTTTACTAGGTTTTACTAGGTTTAGCTGGGTTTAGCTGGGTTTAGCTAGGTTTTAGCTAGGTTTTACTAGGTTATACTGGCTCTAACCCACTTAAACCTATAATATATACTAATTAAATACTAGTGAAGTAGGTACTTTTGATAAACGACGACTTGATCGTTTAGCTCTCTATTTATAGCTAGGGTAATACGTCTTCTGCCCTTTGTAAGTAAATCCCTTCTCTTATTCTTCCCCTCGTTAGACTGCGACAACGCCCGTTTTTGTGGAGACATTTTTAGCGTCGCCAAGACATATGCGGGCACTCTTGGCACGGTGGGTACTGCCAAGAACTAGTTATGTACATAAAATCGCCGAATAGGGTAATTTTTGCATTATTTTTGCATAAGGATGGGCGATGGGCGTCGAATTTCAAAAGGCCCACGGGCCGTGGACACTTTCTAGTGCCCATGGACGGGCGATGTCGCAGTCTACCCCTCGTAATTGATTATTTATTTATTTCGCCTATTATATCCTAGAGCTAGCAATCTAATTTAATATCCTCGATTTATAATAGAGATATAGATAATCTTAGTTATCTTACCCCTTTAAACCGACTTAGTATCCCTAAACTATCTACTAGCTAGTAGACGTTCAATCTCGACTCTATTAACTCCGAATTCTTTCGTCCGATTATTCCCCTTATATCTCCTACCTTATTTCTACATATTAGTCCTAATCGGAGAAAGGTATTTATTCTTTATAATAAAATAACTTATACCGAATAGGTCGACTAGTAGTTATAGACTGATTTTAGAAGGAAGAATAAGATCTATTAGGACTTAAACTACTAGTCTAATATTTAGGGTAGGTTTAACTAGGTTGTAAATAGTATCGATAGGGCACTAAAGGTTATATATAAGAATTACGGCTAGATTCTTAAGTATCCTTATACTATCTATCCTTATCTAACGGGCGACCGGAAAGCACAATATTATAATATATTAATAATATTAAAATATATTAAGAGCGTAGGGTATCGAAAGGCTAAGGGTAGATTAAAGCTAGAGATTATAAGATTCCTTAGTAAAGCTATATATTCTATTATAACTTAATCTTTTATTCTCCTTACTAAATCTTTTTAGGATAATACTCCGACCGAGGCTTCTTTCTTATAAGAGGCCTAGAAGGAAGAGATTTTATCCTTCTTATCTCTTAATCGACTCCTATTTTAACTTATCAAGTATCTAACGTTTTAGAGCCTAATTTAAATAGCTTATACCTCTCTATCTACCCCGTTTATCCCCTCTACTAATACAATTTGTCGTCGGTTATTAAGTATAGTTAAGAGTCGGTAATAAAGTATACTTTAGATACTTCTATCTTACTTAAAGATATCTATTACCCTTAATTGCTAGACCTCTCCCTTCTTATAGGCGTTTATAGCAATTACTAGCTATTTTATTAATAGCGACTAGGTATATCGAGAGGTACTATTAGACTTTAAGCCTATTTATAGGGCGTATACTAGTATAAACCTAAGTAGTACGCTGATAGAGACCCTTATAGAATATAGAATCGAAGATAGGGTATTTAGGCTAACAATAGACAATATATTAAATAACAAAACTCTTATAGAATCCCTTTAATAGGTTTTACCGGATAGTATTATTATTATTCGAATTCCTTATCTTACTTATATTATCTAACTTAGCCTAAACCAGCTTCTTAGATATATTAAGGCAGTTTTAGAAAATGAGACTATAGAGACAAAGTAGACTAATTAATAGTCTAAAATAGCCTAGCAGAATATATAATAACAGTAGCGAGGGATTTCTTCTACGCTAAATAAGATTTGTTACCTTATAATATATATAAATACTAGTCTCTAGCGCCGGGAGAGTTTTTACAATCTCTAGCCCTAAAAAGTTAAGATTGCCCTAATCTAAGATATTGTGACGATTGAGACTGAACTGCACTATCCTTTCTGCCAGTACTGGCCGCCTGCGGGGGTTTCTGCCAGATGTCTCCGACTTGTAGATGTTTGCATGGTTTGTATGAGGAGACAGGACCAGGACCCACAAAGGTCCTGCCAGGCAGGTTTCCTTTCTTCTTCTTTCCTTTTACTCCCTGTACTTAATATTCTCGTTGAAATGCACTCTTTTGTTTAAGAACTGGCTGGTAACATAATATTAAGTACCATTCTCAATTTCACGAAGCAGTACGACTGTACGGACCATCCATTGCGATTGGTCCCGGTCACGCTTCACCCCACTTCCCGTTCCTTGGCATCGTACAAGCCAAGACTCGACCCGAACCGAATTTAGTCTGACCAATCACGATGGTTGGTACTAAACGATACCCGATGAACCGTGGCAAGCAGCCGGTTGCTGCTGTGCCTGATGATGAAGAAACTCCTGAACATGTGACAGATGTTCACGAACCGAAGACCCCGATTACCGAACCGATGAGACCAGTTGAGACTGGAGAATCTGACGAAGACAATGACAACGCTGGAGAAGGATCTTCCTCCATGCGCGATCGACTGCAGAATACCCCGTCGAAGGAACGATTCCATGAACTTGTTCGTCAGTACAAGAAGCTGGAACAGAAGAACCAGGAACTTAAAGACGAGCTCGCAGTTCTTCTTGCAGAAAGAGTTGAGGCTACTGATACGATTGAGAGCCTTAAGATCGAGCGTGACGAAGCGATCGCTCACTACGAACATGCAATCAGAGCTCGTGATGGCCTTGCATACCAGCTCGTGAATCGTACCAGCGCACCGATTATGGAGGCTGGTCGGAAGACTACAAAGATGCCGGATGCTCCGATGCTTAGTGACGGTAAACAAGTCCGATTTGAGACCTGGGAGACCGTGATGCGACAGAAGCTTGAGGCAAACGCTGACCACTACCCGTTGCCTGTTCATCGCAAGCTCTATGTACAGAGTCGTTGTGAAGGCAAGGCTCAGTTGCACATCGCACCCCGAATGGGTTCTGATTCTAGCAACCCGTACATGGACGCCGAAGATATGATCGTCCATCTGAGGACTGTTTTTGCGAACCCGAACCGACGTGCCGAAGCCTACACTGCCTACCACAAACTGATGATGAAGCCAAAGGATAGCTTCACTGACTTCCTTGCTGAGTTTATGCAGCTCGCTGAAGAGGCTGCTGTGATTGAAGAAAACCGCAAACGTGATTTGTACTCGAAGCTGCCATACCTGCTGCAAAGCCAGGTGATGTGGGCAGTCAACCAGGATACCGTGACGTTCGAATCTTTCTCCAAGACCTGCCAGAGTATGTCTCATGAGATCAGTCTCCAGCAAGAGGCAAAGACTACTTCCCGTGCACGATCTACTGCTGTTACCGGCAGTGGTACAGGAACAACTACGAAGTCGACATACACTCCCCGCGTGAAACGCGAAGAAAGCTCCAACCCCGGAAGACTCTCGAACTCTGAGCGAGACACCTTAATGAAAGAAGGTCGATGCTTCAACTGCAAGGAGCAAGGACATATCACTCGCGAATGTCTAAAGAAGAAGCCAGCTGGCACTGTTGCTGCAGCCCACCCTTCTCCCCGTATTGTTGAACTTGACGACGATGAAGATGACAACCAGGGAAAAGCCGATGCCTAGGTCAAGTCTCCTGCCTA